GCCCTCTCACTCTTAGCCCGCGCACGGCCGGGGTCTGAGACAACCGCGCCCGCCTGGGGAAGTTGATTTACCCTCCTGAGATCTCCAACTTTCAAACGTCGCATGAGAAAACAGAGATAATGTTTTGAAGGCACCGTCAAATCATGAAGAATGCACACCAAGCATTTGACCTTATGTCAAAGGTGAGATCACCAGAGGTCACAAAAGGTCAAAAACGGTCGTTTTGATAGATGCAGTTAAAACCTATGTTAAGACGTCCAGACGGCTATTGAAGGCACGAAAATAGGCGTGAGGACTGTGAGGAGTCCATTCCGACCATTTTTACTCCCCGCATGGATCAGGTCAGATCAAGTCACCGTTCAAAACTGCTCTGCTGGTAGCCTACAAGAACGGTAACTTTCTTCACAATGCGCTTCTAAGTTGATTTTGTTATATGTAACTGTGGGACAAAAGTATTTCAGACATAAAAATACCATTTGATGGCGAGCGAGAGATCATTTGAGGACAACTTAGAAGTTTTGAAACCATCCAAATGAAAAATGTGATGTCCTAGCCGGGTCTAGGTGACCAGTACAATGCTTTTCTGTGGTCAGGAAGGGTGCATTGTACTTTTACAGGTACTCAAGATTGCATAGCTGTTGCTTACATTATTTTTCGCCTGGCCATATCGTTCATCTTTTCTCTCCGCTACTTGCAAAATAGGTCATTAACTTTGGATGACTTCATATGACCTTGCATGCTTTCACATGACCTGTTGTGACCTTATTATAGATTGGGACTACTTAAGACTGCCTACTTTGAGCTTACCATGTATTTTGCAGAAAGTACCCATAAAGATAAGTCATGACCTGGGTCAAGGCTATATACTCTGTGGTCATATGATGGTTGTGCATGTAAGTTAGCACCCGTTTTCCACAATTAAGCCCCAAAAGTACACAAAAATGCGTACGTATTTGCATTATTTACGCAAAATAGCAAAAATTTACCTGCCTTCAGGTCATTGGCCTCGCACGTTCCAAAAAACCTGAAACATACAAATTGTAGGTACTATCGTGTTTTTTTTTTACCATCGCAAGTTTTAAAAATGACAAATTACCGACCAAAAAATTATAAGCAGTCAGCGTTTTTTGGAGGCTTTGGCCTCTTTGTCCTGATATGTGTCACTGATCTTGGTAGATCAAAACTTCACGTTTGTTCAAAAGATGCCAAATTGATAAATAGGTACGGGACATTTCGTGCTGCTGCAATCCATCGTTTTTGACCTGTGCTCAAAAAACCGTAGAGGGGGAAGTGAACTCCCCCCTCCCCCCCCCGCCGGGCGCGGGATGAGGCCGAGGCATCGTAGCGTAGAGCTCAGAGTTGAAACTATTTTGAAGACATCATGAACTGTGAAAATTATGAACTGGGCATTATGAACTGTGTTCATCGTGAACTACAGATATTGTGAACTGCGACATCATTATTTGAAACGGACCCGTGGCCGTCGGTCGGCCAGCGCCCGGGCGAGCTATCACGTGACCTGGCGCCATGCCGGGACAGCACGCGTCCACCACGAGGCAGCGTCTACGGCCAGCGTGCTAGTCCGGCCGCAGCGCGGACTAGTGCTCCGTCGGCGCGCTGGCCGGCCTAGGCCGTGTCATTTGTCCCTCTCGTCCTCTATCTTGCTTCATTCTGCATCCTCGCGTCACCCTGCTTGTCATGAACAGGCTGCATGCGTCAGCCACGAGTGGGCCCAGAACCCCGTGGGAAGGGGAACCCCGACCGGGTACCTAGCGCACATGCGCGGGTTAAAGTTCGGCGGTTGGCCCACCCAGCCACATGCAAGTCTGCCCCACCGTCGACCATTTTCCTTCATCCCATAGCCCTGAAGTGATCATTTCTGGTCGAAAGGGCTCTAATCCAAAAAGCAAACCAAACCTAGACCACGCAGGGGCTCGCGCTCTGCGGTGGGCCAAACCCCGCCTCGCGGCGGCGGACCTACCGCGGAGCGCCACACCCTTTGTACTGAAAGACTCTCTCGCGCGGCAGAATCATGGGGGCCTTCTGGCTGTGTCAATCACGGAGGCCTTTTGGCTGTGAAGCTGAATCAAGGGGGCCATCTGGCTGGCCGTCAATCACGGAGGCCTTCTGGCTGTGAAGCTGAATCATGGGGACCTTCTGTAATCAGCTGCGACTCATGCGGCATGCAGCTTAGCGCATCCTTGTCGCACGTGCCGGCCACAATCCTATCAAGATGCTAATTGTCTATGCGCGAGGCGCAACTGGTCATAATGCGCAGCAATCTCTTTTAACCTGCATACATTTTAAACGACTTGCCAGGGTCTTGAACCAGAGAGTAGTAGTCTTGGCGGATAATAATAAACGCTCACTGACCGTGAAGGCTCGACTTCATCGTGCCAAGCATCGTCTCAAGGTCAGCGTCGGTGAGGACTTGTAGGCTGCACCTCAATGTCGGTGGAGACCTGCAGGCTGTACCTCAGCGTCGGTGGAGACCTACAGTCTGTACCTCAGCGTCGGTGGAGACCTACAGTCTGTACCCCAGCGTCGGTGGAGATCTGCAGGCTGTACCTCAATGTCGGTGGAGACCCGTCGGCTGTACCTCAGCGTCGGTGGAGACCTGTCGGCTGTACCTCAGCGTCGGTGGAGACCTGTCGGCTGTACCTCAGCGTCGGTGGAGACCTGTGGGCTGTACCTCAGCGCCCGCGCCCGCTCGTCGTCCAGCTTTAACATCAGCGGTGCCGGTGTGGCACTGGACGGGATCAGATGCGGCGCCGGTGTGGCACTCGCAAACTGCTCGTTCCGCTCGTCGTCGCTCGCGGCTGTCTCGGTGTCGCTCTTAACCGCGGTCCTGCCGACCGCGCTACGTTGTTTCGCACCGTCCAGCCGCGGACCGTGCGAGCATACAGGCCGGAGTGGATCACCGAGCTGTTGACACTGGCTGCGCGTCACAAGGATGCGAGGAGCAGACTGTCGCCGCTGGGGTCACGCCATAGTCTGTGATTGCTGTTGCAGTATGTGTTAGTACAGCTTAGCGCGCTATTTCAGTCCTGCTTTTCATTGCATAATTTGTGGGCATAGTATGTGCCTAGTACAGTTTGAGTGTACTTGTTCAGTTTCGCTTTTCACTGCGTGATATGTGAGCATGATGTGTTTTGTACAGCTTAAGTGCATTTGTTAAGTCGTTCTCTTCACTGAGTAGTATTTGCATTATCAATGCTATCACAAAATATTGTTAAACTCGGTGGCCTCGTGTGACATCTGCGGGCCTTTACGAGTTGCATGTGTGCGTTTGTGGGTGGCAGGTTAAGAAGATTGGCGAGAGTGGCGAGAATAGTGTGACCATCGAAACGATTCAGTTCAGGCTGCATGTGCGTGTTTGTGTGTTTCGTGTGTGCATTGGTGTGTTGCATGTGATTTTCGTTCTTTCTTTTTAAACATATAATTTCCTTAGTTTGGTGCCTTGTGGTAAGCAGCCGCTGCTGTTTTTGTCGCAACCGGATGTGGTCTTTCAATATGACGCGGTTGTATTTCGGAAATGCATTGACTGGGTGCAAATGCATTGACCCCCCCCCCGAAGGTTTTTCCCAAATGGTTTCCAAACGCCGCAGCGTTGTCGCGCCACGTTTTCCATAGTTGTAGACAATTGAATAGCACATCGTTTGGCATAAACAATTTAGACATACCTTCTAAGGTCGCTGACCTATGGCAGGTCAAAGTCAGGCTATGGTCCCAACGAAGTCTATTTCCAGGGAGTCGTTCAATCGAATGCAACGAGGTGTAAGACGGAGCCATACATCTCTGAGATGCTTTCTTAGGCAACAAAAATATTGAATGAGCAAATGACGTTGACCTGAGGTCAGGTATCAAGATCAGACCAAGGTCACAACCAACCAGTTTTATTACTATGGGGCTTGTTTTATGGGATAGTTTCTGGTGCTCATTTCGAATTTATTGACTGCAGGAACCGCATTATGCATCTTTCATGGACTTCTTAGATGTCAGAACAGGTCATTGACCTGAAATGACCCAGGTCAACACTTTGTTCTTAGAAGCGTACTGCCTAGCGAAATCTTTGTCGCTTGTTCAAATGCAAAACTCAGAGCATTATTCTATGATTTTGGTCACCGCGACCTTCAAAAGGTCAAACAAGGTCACTGACCTTAGATGAGCATGTGACCTTTTGCTTAGAAACAGTTATCTATGTTCTGGTGGCACTTCAGAGACCAACCTGGTATTTGACCTTGTTTGACCTTATGTGTCCTGAAGGTCATGACCTAGGAACCTAAAACTTTTACCTCAGTGAGTTAACGTACAGGTCAACGCACCCTGCAAATTTGGTGGCTCTAGATTTCTTAGTTCCCGAGATCTCGGGGGAAGGTCAAATTGACCCCCTACCCGAGCGAAGGGTGGGAGCAAAGCCGTCTAACCGGGCGCGTGTTAAATACTGCTTTAGCCTCGGGAAATCACAAATGCTAAACTACTTGTTTTCTTGCCCAACCGTTAGTCACCGCGTGTGAGCAGTTTGACTCAAGGAATGAGGCCATGTGTCATCCTATTCCCTAGACACCAAGCTATCCCCCGTGCATTTGCTTCGTCATTATTTTGTAAACACTTCTCACACCCGCTACCAATGTTTGAGAGGTACACAATAACAGGCTGCTGCTCAACTGTTTGCTTCAAGTGGTATCAGACTATGGCGGACAGTGTGGATGCCCGGCCGTCGGTCGGATGCCGTTGCGGCCCTATCTACGGATCTGCAGCAGCAGCTGACCGGCTGGCCGTGCCGGCAGATATGCAGTGCAGCGTGACCCGCCGTACCGCCGCAGTGCGCGATACCGCCGCCACCTAGCGGCCGCCTGCGGCGACAAGGGCCGGCTCCGGCCGCGGCCAGTCAGCGGTGCAGGAGCAGCCATGGCGGAGGGACGCGAGAGGTCCGAGAGCGGACACAGGTCAGTCGCGGCTCTGGGCAGTGGCCAGTCACGATGCCCGGACAGAGTTCAGTCACGGTCCCGGACAGAGGCCAGCCACTCCTCCAGACAGTGGTCAACCGCGGCCCTGGGCAGAGTTCAGTCACGCCCCTCCCAACAGAGGTCAGTCACTGCTCCAGGCAGAGATCAGTCGTGACCCCAGACAGAGGCCAGTCACTGCTCCAGGCAGAGATCAGTCGTGACCCCAGACAGAGGCCAGTCACTGCTTCAGACAGAGACCAGTCACTGCTCCAGGCAGAGGTCAGTCACTGCTCCAGACAGGGGCCAGTTACTTCTCCAGACAGAGGCCAGTTACTGCTCCAGGCAGAGGTCAGTCACTGTTCCAGACAGAGGCCAGTCACTGCTCCAGACAGAGGTCAGTCGTGACCCCAGACAGAGGTCAGTCACTGTTCCAGACAGAGGCCAGTCACTGCTCCAGACAGAGGCCAGTCACTGCTCCAGACAGAGGCCAGTCGTGACCCCAGACAGAGGCCAGTCACTGCTCCAGACAGAGGCCAGTCACTGCTCCAGACAGAGGCCAGTCGTGACCCCAGACAGAGGCCAGTCACTGCTCCAGACAGAGGCCAGTCACTGCTCCAGACAGAGGCCAGTCACTGCTCCAGACAGAGGCCAGTCACTGCTCCAGACAGAGGCCAGTCGTGATCCCAGACAGAGGCCAGTCACTGCTCCAGACAGAGGCCAGTCACTGCTCCAGACAGAGGCCAGTCGTGACCCCAGACAGAGGCCAGTCACTGCTTCAGGCAGAAGTCAGTCGTGACCCCAGACAGAGGCCAGTCACTGCTCCAGACAGAGGTCAGTCGTGACCCCAGACAGAGGCCAGTCACTGCTTCAGACAGAGACCAGTCACTGCTCCAGACAGAGGCCAGTCACTGCCCCAGGCAGAGGTCAGTCGTGACCCTAGACAGAGGTCAGTCACTGCTCCAGGCAGAGATCAGTCGTGACCCCAGACAGAGGCCAGTCACTGCCCCAGGCAGAGATCAGTCGTGACCCCAGACAGAGGCCAGTCACTGCTTCAGGCAGAGGTCAGTCACTGCTCCAGACAGAAGTCAGTCGTGACCCAGACAGAGGCCAGTCACTGCTCCAGACAGAGGTCAGTCGTGACCCCAGACAGAGGTCAGTCACTGCTCCAGACTGAAGTCAGTCGTGACCCCGGATGGACTCCGCAGTCTATCGCGCTTTGCAATGCGTTTTTTTTTTGCTTGCTGAGTTTTAGTCTGATAACAACTGACCTGCAGGTTTTGATGGACACATCATATCAGGTCATAGTCCTTTGACCCAGTATCTGCGTAGTGGCCTTGTATCTGCAATACAAGCTGTCGAAAATTGGTGTTCCCAAAATAATTTTGTCTCTCTTTGCCAGATTTTTGTTCACTGGCTTTGAAAGTTTGAAGTGTATCATGAGCCCCGTAATGCTCGTGAGTTGAAAAAGCCGGTGGTCCTTCAAAACCTAAACTGGAAATGATTTTAAAACCAAAACCATTATCGTTAAAAACGGCAGTCTTTCAAAGCCCCTCAAAACCAAACCCATTCTGACCAAAACCCAAAGTCCTTCAAAACCACCTGAAGTAATAGTTGGTGAGCAGAGTCTCTGAAGTGTGCCAGCATCGTCGTCCCCGTAGAGATCAAAGAGCATGCCCGTCCGAATTCAGAGTCAAAGATGTTGCGAAATTATCTCGGACGACTTCACATTTATTATTGAGGTGGCACGCATTGCCTTCAGTTAAGTTTAATTCGCAGATAAGTGTGGATATTGCAAAAACGTGACTCGATCTCGTTCGACGCGAATTGGCACATTAGTGTTGGGTTGTAATGTGGAGTCATGTGGAAAAGTTCCATGTCGAGTACGGCTGTTTTTTTTTTGTTTTTTTTTTTTGCTTTTGGACATCGGTAGCGGCATTGGCACGGCTCGCACATCTGGCGAGTGTTTACTTGTTTGGTGATACTAGGAGGTCGTGATAATCGCCACGAATGGTCAGTGGTCAGGTTACGGGGTCAGGCTTGCTGAGATTAGCAGGATCAGATGGTAATGCCACGCTTTGTTTATTAATTCAAGTGTTCAATTTATGAACTGGTGCTTGGTTTAACGCCACTCCAGTAAAATGAAGTGGTTCCTCCGGGTGATGCTGTCGGAAAAACGAATACTTCACTAGCAGATACTGTTCAAACGTGCTAAAACGGTGAATGATAAGACTGTCTTATTATGTGACGTTTCTCAGCCGTAACACGTCGGGGGACACCGCGAAACACTGATTACAAAATACCACGATAAAAGCGGCGCTCATAATCAGAGACGTATCATGTTCGTAATCACGGAAACGTGACCACGATTTTCATCATTGTCTGCCAAGTGACTGCGTGAACTGTTCCCATCCTCAGCCGCCGCCCCCCTTCTCAGCCGTTCTGCCCATCTCTGACACGCCGCTGTTCTGCTGACCTCAGATGCGGGATGGCAGGGCTCAGTCCGCGCCGCCTGCCGCCGCCGCTCACGCTCTGGATGTGGGCCGTGCTGCTGGTCTCTCTGCTAACGCCCGGGGCGACTCTGACCGAGAAACGACTGCTGGACCAGCGGCCCAACTTCATCATCATGCTGATGGATGACGTGAGGCAGGGCAGGGTGTCAGGATGCGGTGGAAATTCTGACCTTGGTGTGGAAGTGTGTGTTGGTCACAGGAAACAGCTGAGCTTGAGGTTCGGAGCAGTTTCGCGACTACATGGTTTCTTTGGGTAGAGGCCATTGGAACTATGCAGGTGATGGGCTGCTATTCATATCCAGCGAGGGATGACATCCGCGTGGTCGGAGAAAATAAAGCAGGAAGCTTGCTTATTGCATGACAAGTATAAAAACCGGGAAGCATATTTGTAGTGAGCACCGTTGCAGCGCTGATGGCTCACGGCAACGTTACACTTTTTGCATGTCTGTCTGGTGTATACTGCGTGGTGTGTTGCTCTCAGCGTCCGGCATATCAAGGAAACGGAGGCAAGCATGCCAGATCCACAGGTTTTTAGCACATTTTTTTCAACGTGCGAGAATGACACTTGACTTGCGTTTTATGGTCGTGCCCCAACACCTTCCTCGCCATTGGACTTGCTGTTGATCCGACTTTGCTGCTTGGCTCGGTGTGGACTTGACGGCGCTGTCTTCTCTACAGATGGGATATGGGGATATTGGACCTGCTTGGCCCGGTGTGGACTTGGTGGCGCTGTTCTCTCTACAAATGGGATATGGGGACCTTGCTGCTTGGCCCGGTGTGGAATTGACGGCGCTGCTCTCTCCACAGAAGGTCATGGTGACCTTGGATCTGCTTGGCCCGGTGTGGACTTGACGGCGCTGTTCTCTCCACAGATGGGATATGGGGACCTCGGATCGATGGGAGAGCCCAACAGGGAGACATCCAACATCGACAGCATGGCCCAGGAGGGCATGCTCTTCCCGGAGTTCTACACGGGCGCCGCTATATGCTCTCCGTGTGAGGACCAGCGTCCGTCCAACCACCGGGAGCACTCGTCTTTACGAGATGCGCCACACGGCCGGAATTGAGTCAGGAGACCCACGTGGCTACACATTACGTTGTGTCCCCAGAGCTCACAAGTGCAAGCCCCGGTAGCGGTTATTGACTTCCACTTCCAACACAGTCAAGGATCCACTCAGTGTTGCCCCATTTGCCCAATCAAACGGAACGCCATCGGCGCCCAGAGCAAACATGGCTCAGAAATTATCTGGTGTTGCTGTGGTGTGTGCTGACGCTGGCGGCGCGTGTGCGCGCTACGTTCATGCTGGCAAGCGGCTGGTCAGATCGCCAAAGGCATCTAATGGAGAACACAATGGGCGCTCCCAGTTCTAACCGATACACGTGACGTAGTGCGGTGGGTCCCATCGGCTGTCTATTTCGATTCATGCTCACAACGTGTGAGTTACGTAATGTGTAAGCCAATCTGAGATAAAGTGGTGGATCCAGGATTTTGTCAGGAGAAGGGGACATGCAACACTGTGGACCCTCCTGAAGTTGTAGGTCAACTCCAAAAAAATCGTCGGATTTCTGCCATTCAATCTCAATGTTCTTTGCATGTTATTTTTATACATAAAGCTATTTCCTGTGCGCACCCCTACACAACTTGGCGTCGTGCGCCTATACATACGTGGAGGGCGTTCATCTTTTCAGATCATCGTGGATCTGGTCCTTTTTAGGACAAGTGTTACTGAGAATACATGGTAAAATGGGTTAAGGTTGGCTGCTAAATACCATTAACATCAAACGCGATATCTGATTCCAAGGTGGGTTGCGGGTGGCCTGTTTCCGGTGTCTAGTGAGATAGTCGATGTGATCAGCTGATGGCCAATGATTTGTAGCGAGTTTTGTTTGAGTGCAATGGAAAACAATACTAGATACTCTAGCATTCAAAATATGTTAATGACGTGATGCTACAGTATGCGAGCTAGGTGTTAAGAGGGCGCACACACGTGTTGACTGACGCGCGGCGGTGGCTGACCGATTTCGAGCTAGGTGTTAAGAGGGCGCACACACGTGTTGACTGACCCGCGGCGGTGGCTGACCGACAGCGAGCTAGGTGTTAAGAGGGCGCACACACATGTTGACTGACCCGCGGCGGTGGCTGACCGACAGCGAGGGCGGCCATGCTGACTGGACGCCTTCCCATCCGCAACGGCTTCTACTCGACGAACAACTTCGGCCACAATGGTAAGTGTATTTAGGGGAGGGGGATGGGAGGATCGTGTGTGCGTGCGTGTGTGCTGGACAGCGCGCGGGTCAGTTGCGATTTGCCGACGCGCTGCAGCCAGTGACGGAGCTCTTGCCTCGCCGGGCAGCGTACACTCCGCAGGAGATCGTAGGCGGCATATCAGACTCGGAGGTGCTGCTGCCAGAGCTGCTCAGCAAGGCCGGCTACACCAACGCTCTCATCGGCAAGTGGTGAGTGCTCCGGGACGGTTACGACGTGTTTTAAGATCTAACTATAGTAATTTCTCGCTTTCTTTTGCTCCTCAAACCTCAATCCTTCAAGGGTTTGCTTACTAGAATATTTATGAAACTGGAAGGTATAAAGCGTGCGGCTTTTCGTCACCCTTTGTCTGGATGACCATCACACTGGACGCTCGAACGAGGCTGAGCTTTGTCGCACCTTGTGAAGGGCCAGCCAGCGTCTCGTGACGCTCGGCGCCCCCGGCCGCGAAGGGGCTCACATCCAAGACGCCGATGAGTTGCTCCGGGCGATGTTGGGCCGCGACACGTGCCGTCAGCTGCGGCTTTGTCGGGCGGTGCGTGTGCCTCGCGTACACCGGCGACCGGCACAGAGCGGGACCCGTGTGGCGGCTCGATTGACAGCTGTGTGCCGGCCGCCCGTTCGGCTGCAGCAACGCTCGCGTTCCCAGCGCTACCGACTCGGTTTTCGTCGCGCTCCTATGCGGGGCTGGACGTCCGCCGCGCTCGCTCGGCCGCGCCGTTCGCGGACCGGCCGCAGGTGATCGCCCGGCAGCGCGGGCGGGAGGGACCGTGCCGCGGTGTTGTTTGGGGTCGCCTGAGATTGCGCCGTCCGCGCCGGGAAGGATGACGCAACGACTAGAGCGCGGCAGGTGTGCCACCTGCCAGGGTCCATATCAGGCGTTTTGAGGCTGCGCTTGTTTTCGGGCTGTTACCTGGCGGCAGATCGAGCGTGACGCAGACGGTTCAGTGCACCGGACGAGCGCCGGGCTGGAGAGGTCGTCTGATAGCAGGCCTCTTACCGTGCCTGTGTGCTCAAATGCAGCGTTGGTGGACCGCGGCCTTTCACCCGAGAGTGCAGGCACTTGCTGCAATGCATCCTCCATTGTCCGTAACGTAGTGTATCTAGGGCTATACAAAGGGAGATGTAGTACCACAGAGCGCGCACGTCGTGTGAGGCTTGACGAGTCGACTCGTGCGCGTGGGCGCGCCCCTGTATCGCCGGCAGGCATCTGGGTCACCGTCCGCAGTACCAGCCGTTGGACCACGGCTTTCACAGCTGGTTCGGCTCCCCGAATTGTCACTTCGGCCCTTACGACGACAAGAGCACGCCCAACATCCCCGTGTACCGGGACCGCAACATGATGGGCCGGTGAGACTCGCCCCGACGCTAGCTTCGGCCCACAGGGGATGCCGGCTTCGGGCTGCAGGATACAGACTGCTGGTGGCGTCAACCTCTTAGCATTCCGCCTGTATGGATAAGCGCAGACGCTTTAGATATCAGACGTGCGTAGATTTGGATCTGCAGTGTCAGCTGTCTGTGCGGTTTCAAGACTGATTACACATTGTGCGAGCGCCGTGAGGACAATGAGAACATGGTGAGATTGGGCGACCTGTGCTTTATTCACCTTCTCGTCATGACGATCTGGACTGGAGGCCATTTAGACAGGTCTTTGTCTTATAATTAAGGTTGTTTTTACATCATTGTATAAACAAGTAATCAGCATAACCACATTCAAGCAATTTTTGTATGTGGAAGCACGCCATCAGTTGAGAACCTGATCTCGCGCACCGCGCCCGAACACGTATACTGCATTCCACCTCCTCCCAGGCTGTCTCCATGCCCCACTAACGGACCTACGATCGGGCGTCCCGGCAGCTACTACGAGGACTTCCACATCAACATCACCAGCGGCGAGTCCAACTACACCCGGCTTCTGGCGGACGAAGCCGTCGCCTTCCTGGAGGCGCAGGTCAACAGCATAAGGCCGTTCTTCTTGCTGTGGACGCCGGACGCCTCGCACGCGCCCCACTACGCCTCCAGACCGTTCTTGGGGAGGAGCAGACGCGGTCAGTGCAGGGTCAGGGTCACACGTCAGGGTCCGGCTGCGCGTAGTTTGGAGGGGAATGTGGCCAGACACGGAGCCCAGGAGACTAATTGGCTGAGAGGGCTAGTCCAATTTCTACCGACCCGACAGCCAGGCAGATATTCTTGGCAAGCATGAATTGAGACATCCCGATAGTCCGCATGCTGTGCAGTTCTCTTTGAGACAGTTTAAAGACACAGAATAATCTCTTTAAAACCAACTTGTGATCAGTCAAGAATCAGATCGAGAGTCACCTTAGAACATAACTTAAAAAGGTGATTTGTTATTAATAAGGCTGCCTGGGCCTTGTCCAGGCAGATATCGATGGACAATAAGGAAGGCCTGGATTTGACAAGCAGTTGCGTATGTGTACACCATCACTTACTTTATCGCGACGACAATATCCCTGGAGAGAAAGTCAAGGAAGAATTGTGGCCCCCGTATCACTAGTCTGTCTATCACATTTTAGCCGGTAATCGCTTGGCCAATGATGCGTTCTGTGCTGCATTGTCATGAGTGTCAGCGGTACTTAAGGGGGGATCACCAGCGTGCCCCGAGACCCAAGCCTGACGCCCGACTGTGTGCTGCCAGGACTGTACGGAGACGCCGTGATGGAGCTGGATCACAGCGTGGGTCGCATCCTCGACACGCTGAAGCGCACCAACCTCACCAACACACTGGTCTTCTTCTCCTCTGACAATGGCGCCGCCCTGGTGGACGCCGGCTATGGCAAGTGGTCCGGCTGCGCCCCCTGCCGAGCGGAGCTCTCAGCAGACGTCACGTCCGCGTTGCACGGCTCCTCCGCATGGTGGTACCACGACGCCAGGTGTGGTCGGGCTGTGTTCGCTGACCTCTCGTATGGTGGATGCGCGGGCGTGTGAGCCTCGGGGCAACATGAAGCGGGCGATGACGGTGCGCCCCAACCGCTGCTCGGCAGGCGGCGACAACGGGCGGCTCCTGTGTGGCAAACAGACCACGTTCGAGGGAGGGTTCCGCGTCCCCACCATAGCCTGGTGGCCTGGTGTGGTGCCACCAGGTCAGGTCAGCCAACAGGTCAGTAATACCGTGATTGTGTCACAGACCAGAGGTGGGTGACGTCCCAAAAAGCTGAGACCAAAGTCGTGCTATGGAATTGATCCCTTCCATAATGGTCATGTAATCAATGTTAAGCCTCCACAAGGGGTGGTAGATTCGTATTCGTAACCCTCTTGCAAAAAACCTTCTCCGCACTCTCCGCTCCTACACTCCCTGATCAGACCAGTGTGGTGCAAGGGCGGTAGCATGCACCAGACAGCGGGCCTGCGAACGGCGGCTGGTTGCCTCCAGTGCGTCTACCCCTCGGCCGGACAGTGTCTCCACCCGAGGGTCCGACCGAGTGGACTAGTTCGGTGCCTCGGTCTCCGACTTATGGTGGATTTAAGGACGACAGGAGACCTGCCGCTTAACCGTGGAACGCACTTGAGAGCAAACCAAAACGAATTTATTGCGCTTTTTGCGAACAATAGCGATTAACAAACGAGCAGGAAGCAAACAAGTCGATGACGCAGATCAGTGCACCCGCTCCCATGCACCACGCCGCCTCGTGATTTTTATGGGCGTAGCAGTACGGTGCCGATCTAAGTTCAATAATGTCTCCTGGCGACAACCGGTGGCTTGAGCTGCTGCTCCTCTCAGGTGGGGACCCAGATGGACTTGTTCACCACGTTCGCCGAGCTCGCCGGCCAAGCGATTCCCGGAGACAGGATTGTGGACGGCATCAACCTGGTCTCCGCGTTAACCAATGAGAATACTACTGAGAGGTATGGCATCCACATCACCGACCACACCATTGGTCGATATTCATCTTGCCGTATGCATGCGATTTCATATGGAAGCATGCAGCCGGGCTGTTTTCATATGGAAGCATGCAGCCGGGCTGTTTTCATATGGAAGCATGCAGACGGGCTGTTTTCATATGGAAGCATGCAGACGGGCTGTTTTCATATGGAAGCATGCAGACGGGCTGCTTTCGGGATGCGCTCGCACTAGAAAACGGTGTCCACTTAACTTTGGCGAAAGTAATTACAGTAAAACATGAAGCCACTGTTACGGAATTGCTTCGGATAAGTGGTAGGGTAACACACAGATCTGTGGTGAGACATCGAATTAATGGGCCGGCAAGGAAGGTGATTGAGCATATGATTCTTTAGACAGTTGGCCTATACAACTCTGGTGCGGCCCATGAGTTCCGTATGGCCCACAAACACGAAGAAAGGTAATGGTTGAGCGGAGTGTCGCTGTTCCGAGCTTTCAATGAGCCCGGCTTTGGTGCCGGCTGTAACCTGCGCGCGTATTCGTGCAGCAGCAGCCGGGACCACGTGAGTTACCCTCGGCGGCGTCCCTTCAGCGGTGCACCCCTGTTCGCAGGTCGGTGTTCTTTTACCGGGGTGATCTCCTCATGGCCACCAGGGTTGGGCGCTACAAAGCGCACACCTGGACCTTCACCACGCCTGTCGAGGAGCTGAAAAAGGTACGAGTGTTGCCTTCTGGCCATTTAGCCTCGGCTCGTAATGACGTTTTATTAGTTACATCTATTTTGCAAATCAAAGCATTTTAGGTCTTTGATTGGTTCGAACGCGTCATGCTCACTGCAGCTTCCATTTGCATTTTGTTTTTAGTCCACAGCTTGCGGTACCGCCGTGGAGCCCCCTATGATGTATCATTTACATCAATACCTCCACCTTCTTCCGCCAGGGCATCGACCACTGCCCGGGCGCCTGCGTTGCGAACCTGACGACCTCGGTGCAGATCAACCGCACGCTGACCCCAGTGGTGATTGACCTGGCCCGTGACCCGGGCGAGACGTACCCGCTGAAGATGGGCACGGCCGAGTACACGCGGGTCGTGTCCGAGGTGTGGAAGGTGATGGACGAGCACCTGCATGACATGGTGGAGGGCCGGCCGGCGCTGGACTGGTGCGACGACGCCGTGATGGTGAGTCCGGTCAGCGGGAGGAGGCTCACACTGTCGCTGAAGGCCTCGGACCAACTGGCCGGCCCCTGTGCAGTCTGTCGTCTGATAATATGATCATCTTGTGTTGAGTCAGAGCATACAAAAGGCCTGCCATGCATGCATCGTAGGTCGTGGCGCGAGATGATCGCATGGCGTCACATCAGGCAGCTGCCATCAGGTGTCTTGATTCAACGCACATAAGGTGTCTAAATTCGTAGCACAGAGCATGTCACCATTGTGTTTGACGTCAAGTGCAGGTACAGAGGCACTTTCATAAGATGTCTAAGATCATCATGCATAAGATGTTGTTCTTCGTCGTACATCGTGGTGTGAATCGATTGCGTGATATATCATATGAGGCAGCTGCCATGAGATTTCGTATTATTCCGCCCCGTGAACCGCTGCCCGCAGAACTGGTCTCCGCCCGGGTGCGAGGCGCTGCACGAATGCCTGCGGGCGCCGGCGTCCGACCCGTACAAGTGTGACTGGCCACACTAGTCGGCGCCGCGCCGCCACAGCGCCCCGCGCCGCCACAGCGCCCCGCGCCGCCACAGCGCCCCGCGCCGCCACAGCGCGCCGCGCCGCTACAGCGCCAGGCCGACGGCACCGCCCTCACCCAGGGCAAGGGCGCAGCTTGACTGGCGGGCAGACGCTGGCCGTGTAGGTTTGACTGAGCTCTGAACCCAGAAATCCATCCATTCAAACGGTTCGGATCAAATCTTTAAAAAAAGGTCGAGCGGAAATCGTGCTAATTGGTGACCTACGGAGAGGCTTCACGACATGTAGGACTTCACGACATGTAGGACTTGCTGCGACATGCTGACGTAATTCTTTTAATGGCCCCGAGAAAGTTAGGACTGTGAAAAGGGAACAAAATTTGGAATGCGTGCATGATTTCCAGACTTTTGGATGAAGTAGACCATGGAAGGTTTCCGAGGCGCTTGTTTACGTGTAAGGCTGGGTTTTGAAGACATGAGACACGACGGGGCTAACGGCACCGAAGCATAAGCTGAGAACCCGAACGCGAATGCCGTCGAAACAACAGGCTTCCGCATCTGTCATACCAGGAAGGAGCGGACACAAGTCAACTGGGTGGCAAGTGCTGAGGCGCAAGCAGCCACTCTGGATAGCCTAAAAGGCATTCACGGAACTCATCCGAACAGAACAGATTCAGAACAGAAGCAGACTGGAGAGGTGTGATGAGGGCGAAGGGCGTGTGTGCGAATTCATTTCTGATGTATAGCGATGTATTTTGTCAACAGATGGCACAATCAGCCTAGCAAGCCACTGATGATCACGTGATGCGTACAGTCAAGCATGGTTACTATGAATTACCTGGACGCCTGGTGGCCGTGTCCGGGCTGGGTGCGGCCGCGCCCCGGGGCTTACCGGCGGACTAGGCGCAGATGCGTCGGGCGGCGGCGCGGCCGGAGACATGGCGGGCGGCGCGGACTTGGCAGGGACCGCTGCGCCCGCGGGGTAAGCAGGCTCTCCCGCCCCGCCGCTGCTGCCTGGGCCTCAAATGTCAGGGTACACTCAGTTGCTCAGGGGCCCTTCATATTGGTATCGGGTTCTTTCCACTTGCTCGGAGGACCCCGTGCTGCGCTGGAGCCCCATATAAGGTAACGCTCCGAGGCACTCGGTGCTCAGTGCTCAGTGCCCCTTCATTGACCTATGGCTTTGTCCCTTTTAGAACTTATCTGCTGAGGTCCCCTCACTTGTGAGAGCTCTCTCTGTATGTTTACCTGCCCGGGCACTCTTGATCACACAGGGGCGTTAATTCATGTGCACTGATCTTCGGCTATTGCCCTTTGTTCAGGGGATCCTGTACTCCGGCCGGACCCTAGGTGTCTGCCTGCCGGGGTGCTCCCGATCGTTCAGGGGTCCCACCATATTGGTGTAAGCTTCTTCTCGCTTGTTATGAGGACCATTCACTGTTGACTGGAGCCTCTTTGTTCGCCTGCCACGGCAGTTTTGATTGCTCAGGTGCCGTCATTATTAGCCTCGGGATTTTTTCCATTTTATAGGAGGGCCTACGCCGTTGACGGGACCTAAATCTTAATGATTTTCATTGGTGCTTTACTTCTTACCTGCGGATGATTAAATGTGCGGCTATGCCGATTACGCCAATGAGTTCTTTCTTGTCATTATCGAACATGATTTTACACGCCGCCGACGTCGTGCATCTTATTTCCGTTGCTTATTGAATTTGTGACAATAATTGTTCTTGTGCGTTACGTTCTAATACATTTTGAACGATAGCGTATTCTGCATTCCCTTGCAACAGACAAAGCAAAAACTCTGTACCAGTCCTCAGCCATCAGCTCATCTCATCAACTACCCCGCTAACCGTATATAAGCTAGGAATCAAACTTGTGCTTGATTTTGATTATTTTTAGCAGCCAATTTAAGCGTATGCTACCATGTTTTCTTCGAAGTACTTAGCCTTAAAATGATAGGATCTACCATGACCCGACGAAAATGAACAAGCTCCATACATTTGCATACGAATCATGCTTAGTTTTCTAGGGTTGTGCGTAGTAAGCTAGGCTCCCGTATACAAACTGCGTACGTAAGAATATTAAAACTCAATCACCGGAATACGAGGATTTTTGGTGGATAGAGCCCTGAACTCTAGGGAGCTAACAAAGTAAGAGGCCTTCTCCAGTTTTCTAGCATTTTCGCAAAGTACATGTGCGGCGATTTAGTTACCGTGAAGTTTACTGCTCCCGATCACTCCGATATGGTGTATTAGTCCTGGCCGTAGCTTTTGCCCGAATCGCACAGAGCGCTTCATAATGGTGTATATATATATATATATATATATATATATATATACATGTTTTTATGCCGACAGACACACGAAGCTCGCAGAACTTGCACGGTATATGACTGCTGACTGACCCTTCTATATCTGGCTCTTCCTTTCATTTCGGCACCCTAAACACATTAATCAGAGCACAAAACACGAGCATGCAAACCAGCAACAAACTTTTCACTGGACAGCACTCATTGTCGTTTTGATTTGGCAACAGCAAATAATTATTTAGCCGTGCAGAAGACATCATTACCACCACACACTGAATAACACAATCAACACAGCAAATCACAACGCTGCATGCCAATCACCCAATACCCGCGCCATTCATCAGTGTCTTGTTCCTTGTCTAATTGATAAGTTTGTGATTCTGCTCCAAAGAGATAACTCAGTGGTTTCATTCATTTATTTGCTTAGAAGTCGTTTATGGTCATGAATGAGTAATGCATCCAGAATGTGAGTCTTATAGTTCTGTGTGTAGATGATAGCATCGCAGTGTTTTGTGTGAGCGCTCGGCGCGCGAGAAGAGTATTGTGGTCGGGCTGTACGTGATTCATTGGTGCTTCCTCCGTAAGGTGTTCTGTGAGACGTCGGAGCAAAAATGTTGTAGTTACACCATTGTAGCATACGGAACCTTGCAGCAACATCTGGCAGCGGTCAACAGACGGGTGGAAATGACTACGCATCGAAATCGTTACTTTCCAACGCTTGATGAAGTCGATGGATATGCGTGTAAAAGGTGTCCCTTTGCCGGATGTTTCACTAGTGCAATTTTTAGATTGGTAGTCGGGACGAACTAGGGGAAGGCGCAATGGGAAGGCGCATTGGCGTAACCTCTCTTGCTCGTAATGCTGCAAATGCTGAACCCGTTCAGAGAATCATCTGGTCAGCCAACTAAACTGCATTGGTAAAACGTTCTGGTCAGCAGCTGAAGGGCATTACGTCCCATCTGGGGTCCCCCGCCGCTTTCAGTCTAGTGATAGCCCCCAGGACCGCACGGAGACCCTCAGAAGAACGCATCACAACCGGTCCCCTCCTCCATGCGGCTGTCCCTCCAATTGAGACATCCAGCAACGGATCGGCGCAGGGGCTCTCGCTGATGCAAAAAGACTCTTCACTGGCACAGGAACTCCAATATTGGTATTGAGACACTAATTCGCCTTATCGGTCTCTGGTTGAAATGGTGCAGAGGCTCCCTCACCCGGTTCTGGTATCCCTGGCTGGCACAGGGCTCACCACTGTCTCATTGTACATGAAAACCCCTTTTGTCATTTCGCATGAACCCTTTCATTGTCAGGAGGGTCCAGACCAGCACAATAGACCCTTTGACATGCGGGGGCCCATCAAATGTGCTCCTGGCCGACCTGGGGCTCATTGCCGACATATGATCTCCTACTAGGGACTGTGGTCACTGACCAGAAATGTGGGTTCTTCATTGTTTCAGGTGTCCCGACGAATGTAGGATGTCCTCTAATTGGCATTTAGAGTTCTTGGCCCTGTCTCTACTCGAGAAATAATCTACTCGAGAAACACCTTCGCCCCAGAATAGCACGGAGCGGACTGTTCGATATGGCTGTTGTCAGTCAGTTGGAAATAAACGCAGTGGTGGTCCGAAATAAATAAAAAAGATACATGATATATATATATATATATATATATATATATGTATATATATATACATATATATATATATATATATATATAAGAAAGGTATTATGATGTCCATGAATTTTGAGCCCTGTTTACAACCAAATCTTTGGGAAATTTAAATTACCCACTTAGAAAAAAGGGCTCATTCAAATAAAGGTTACGGTGCCGCGAAATGAAACTTATGGTGCCCCAAACTGACCACCTTGGTGCCCCCTAGCCCAAAGGGCCAATCCAGGATTTCGTCAGTGTGGGAGGCACAACAATGCTGTATCCCTGAAAGGTGGTGCCTTTAGAGAATACAGATTTTGGGCCGGTTATGGCGTACTGGGATTTCAGTGCCTATCGAAAATAAATATTTGTGGTCATTTGTGGTGCCCGTGAAATTTTGGGGCCTTTTGAAAATAAAGGTTGTGAGATTCGAAACATAGATTGCGCTGCCCCTTCACCACGATATTTTGCTGCCCCCTCGCCACAAGGGAAAGGGGGCATAGCCCCATCGCACCCCACCCCTACCACTCTGGATCCGCCATTGGTCAAGGTCGGTTGACAAGACACACCACACCGCCTCGTCGCCTCAAAGCGTAGCCCGTTCTTCCTTCCTAATTCGTCATTCGGCTCCACGCGTAAGTCCCATTTATGTCATTTTGGTGTGGATCTGAGTGCATACCGTGTTGTGTCTATGACTGCGAAACCCAATTCTATGTTCGGAAAAGTGTTTGTACATGCTATGTAGCTGCTGACTCCTTGGCACGAGACACGTGTACTGGGTCATGCTGCCTCTAAACTCTCCCCATTCAGGCTCTATGCGTATGTTTCCTTCAAGTCCACCCGCCAGCGGCTCAGGCACGCACGCTGTGTTACTACATATACGCTGCCATACGACTATTGCAAACTCCATCCCTCATCCCGTTTCAAGGGCATTTGCAATAAGCACCGTTCAAAGTGCTCTCTGCTGCCTTTGCCCCGAGCACACGGTGTACCTACCCCCATGACCAAGGACGTAGCAAAACAATGAAACGAACAGTGCATATTGCAAACTTGTGTTATCATATCCATTATATATATATATATATATATATATATATATATATATATATATATACATATATATATATGTATATATATATATATATATATATATATATATACCTGTATCGTGGCTACATTTCCCTTGGCTTTATGCGAAATCCGGTTCACTGACTCCTGACTTACGCGGTTACGACCATCGGTTGCCTTGGCCGATCAGCTGATCATTCGCGCCAGCTTGCCTGTTGTCAAGCGCGTGAAGTTCGGCGCGTGGACGAAAATGTTCTAATGGCATTCATAATTGGTCGGACCGGGGCGTTTCCCGCTTTGAGTCTCTCAAGCGCCGTAGTAGTCTAGCACCGAAACACAGACAGATCACGGCTTGTCGCATTGGAGTTGGCTTTCGGAGGCGGACCCAGTGTGGGATGAAGCAAGGAGCAAGTAAATATGGACGTAGGCAAATATTCTTGCCTCACATGGTTGCAATTGTCGACAAAAAAAGGATTATGTTTTCACGAAACATCATTGCCGATATCCAACGCAGCAATAAAATAATATGTAGGACAGGTAGAGTAGGTACTTACACATGTGTGCGACATAACACATGCAGAAAGCAAATGAAAGCAAATTAACACATGCGGAAAGCAAATTCATTTTGCATCCCAGTTGAACAGTTCCAATGCTGGCACTCCCATGGTGAGCGTTTGGCCTCCGTACATGCAAGACAGTGGCATGACTAAGACACACCGAACATACACAGAAAAACTTGAAACCAATAACCCATCGTCCATTTCGCTGACCCTCATGGCTTCTCCGTATGCACGACCACGCTGCGGTGACCGGACAAAAAAGTGAAATGCCAAAAAGTTAAGAGGACAAAACTTCAGATGCCAAAAGAATCGGAAGCAAAATGAATGAAATTTAGATGTCAAAGTCAAAATGATAAAAATCTAGCAATCGAAATGCCCAAGAGATTAAGTAAAATGGCAAACGTTAAACAGGTAAAAAGTAAAAAGCGATGGAGTAAGATAGCCACAAAGTCCAAAAGCATAAGGCTCAACCCATCAATGTAAAAGACGAGTTGTCAAAGGGATCAAAATGCATGGATAAAAATGAAAATTACGGGGTGAAACGCAGTAGGCCAAATATGCCACAAGTCAAAAAAGATAAAGGCCATAAGAATGCAAATCAAAAGGTGTAAAGGCCAGGTGAATGCAGGTCAAAAACGCAAGTCCACATGAAACAGTAGCCAGGTGAATATAGGCCATCAGCAAACAAACATAGTACAAAAGTCACTTAAACAACACGTCAAAATGCTTTAAAACAGTGAGTTCTGGGGTACTAAAACGGCCGACGACGCATGGCTCCTACCGAACGAAATCTGTGACACAGCGCGCCGTCCACTCGGCCACAAGGTCCGTCTGACCATTTGCTTGCATGCTGGAACTTCTTGTACGTGTTAGCAATAGGCCTGCTTGGGGAATATTGAAAACCAAATGGGCTGTTTTGTTGTAGACGGAGTCGGGGGGCTTCTGAGTTGGATTCTTGGGCCGTGAATGTGCGTAGATGCAACCATATGTTGACCACGTCAAAGGTATTGACCTCATTTTCTTCTTAACACAGGGCCCTGATGGCCGGGAGCAATTGGGAATGTTCTCAAAAGTACGAGTCGGCGCCTGAGTCGTTGGCCGTAAGCCATTTTTTACATTCAGTTGCCATAAGTTAACCCCGGTAACTCGCGTCCAAAGCAAGTGTCCAAAGCAAGTGCCGGAAAGCTTACGTACTGCAAGCGCGGCAGGCCAGTTCGGTTCAGATGCGTCGCAGGACCCTAAGACCACCGAAAAAAACTTGCGATAGCTTTCAGGCAGACCATCCCTTCCGTGTCCCAAATAACTCCGGGATACAGAAGTCGCTGAAGGAGCTTTTTGAGTAACGAAGCAGCGCATTCTTTTTTCAAACCATCTTTTCTTTACGACACCTTGTTCCCTACAGAGCACAAGGCTTAAAAGAGTGCGCCACATTCAGATCCTTTTTTAACTAAGATCGATGTTTTGAAGATCATTCAATGCAGTCCATAGTGCTGCCCTTTTTAACACTTAAAACCAGTGGCGTGATTGCCCCAGTGAAAAATGGCCAGGCCTGTTCCCAACATATTCCAGCAAGCAGGCCTATTTCCGGATTCTACTCACGTTATTTCCAAATTTGGGAGCTACTGAAGCCCAAGTTGGGGAAGCTGAAGCCCATAGCTGGACAGGAAACTATAGCCCTGCTGAAAACCCTCCGGTTTACGATTTTGACGCCCGCAAACCTGGGCGGACTATTTCGTGGAGACTGTTTCGTGCAGACTATTTCAAAGTCGCCCAGGAATGTATGACGCAATAGAAACGCAACGCGAATACTTCAACCGCATTGGCCATGTGTTGTTTAAGGCCAAGAAAAACACGATCGAGTTATTCGCGCCTGGCGTGCGCCAGCACAATTTCTGGCATCACAGGACTTCAACTGACTTCCAGCCCATGCAATGCGTCCAGTGCAAGTTTCGAACAAATGCCAAGTTTTGTGCTACATAACACAAAAATTTTAGGGGTGGCACGAGTTAACGGCAATAAAACGGGGAATCGAATAGCTTAAGAAAGGCGTCATTAGCAAGCGTATGTATGCAAGTGAGCAACATAAAATCACGGATGAATATGTAAGAACGACGCGAGAAAGGGCCAAAACAAGAGCACATGAAGATGCTCAGTTCCAAAAAACATGCTCCAGCAACTCACTGCCCTCTCTCGGCAAGTTGAAGCTACTGACCATTCGCGCGATACGAGAACGGAACTGCCCGCACAGCAGCCTCTTCTGCTCGCGTCTATTCCGGACAAGTTTCCCCACCACCCCACCGCCAAACGAATGGGAAAGTTATCAATGACCCCACTACTCTGACCTGTCTTTTGCTGAGGGCTTGCGCGTGGATTAGGGCTGTTCCACACAGCAGCTGTGTGCTGCGTTACAGTCTGAGGTTCCAGAATCAACCTCTGAGACGTGTGAAGCGCATTAAAACTTGAGGCGCATTAGAGAGCGAAGAGATTTTATTCTATATGTGATTGTACGAACAGGCCCACACAACGCAACTAGATACAGTCACGATCGAAAATCTTCAACTTACTACTCCTGTAGGTTCTAATGCGTGCTTTATAGCACAGATGCATAGATAGCATAGATAAATTTATAGCATGCGCGTTATGTGCACCCAAGCTCATAATTGTGATACATTTACATTGCAGTTTCTACACGTCCCAAACTTTTCTTGAACCATTCTACTACTGCTGTAACCGAATGAAGCCGGTATACCGACTCCACATTTTATACCGCCTACCATTTGATACGCTGAACCTTGCTCGGTGCGAAGTCCATTTGAAACACTGCTCTACATATGCGCTGTATTTGGGATCGTTCACTTCCTCGTAGCGCTTACAGGACGGATAGCAAAACAACATGTGAAGTTAGAACTAACGTAAGTACATGACTTCAGACAGATCCAACTTAAAATTACGCACGACCTTCCGTTGTGTGCAAGAGCAATGTGGGGCTCCGTCGACGACACTTCGTCAGAAACGTGCTACACCGGCAGGGAATCTCAACAGCTGTGCACCAAAACATATAAGTGTATCCTCGATCTTTGGCTCTTGACAACCACAACCAGTTTTCCCGACTCAGGTCACAGTCGGACCCGCCTGAGATAAACAGTTCAGATCAGTGCAGCCATGGTCAGGATGGGACAGCCCTGCTGCCGACCTCAGCTCTGGGCCGCCCTGTCCTGCCCTGCCCTGCCCTGCCCTGCCCTGCACGGAACACCAGGCGGCGCTGTACTGTCGCCCAGCTGTGGGCGGCGGGCGGAGGAGCTTAGCCTTGCAGGATGCGCGCTGCCCCGTGCAGCCGGCCTAGCTCCTCCGGGTCGGTGATGTGCAGCGCCTGCAGACACCCTCCGAAGTACGGGGTGCTGAAGCACTGCCGGCTGGGGGGGCGACGAAACGAGGTCAGACTACGATGAAAACTCTCACAGGCAAAAGTCACTGTGCCAATATATTACCTGTTCATATCATATTTGTTATGTCCAGCCGATGTTGAAAGCCTTGAACCTGTATTGGAAAACCGGCACCCAGCAGCATTCATACCTGCGATCACCGCGCTGGCTCACTCGCTGCGAGATACACGGGCAGGCAGTGGGTAGACGACAGGCGCTCGAACCCCACCGCCCAGTAAATGAGCACATGAGAGATCACCAATGAGCACATGAGAGAGCACACCAATCCGCCAACATCAGTGGGAAGGTCACGGTATGCGCCAATCAGCACAGGAGTGACCGAAGGCTGTGGGCGATGGACTTATGCGCTAATCCGCAAGAGCGTTGTGCCTGTAGTGGTATGTTGTGACGTAAGATGCCACTCCACTTTGCCATCACTTCGCCGAAGCCCGGCTGCTTCGGCGAGTGGCCAGAATTGCTGGTTGTAGAGTGGAGCCCGCTGGGGCAAGGCGCATAGGCCACATGGACCAGGCGCTGACAGCTTCATTGGCAATTCTAGCCGGTTTCATAGAAAAGTGAGCAGCAGATAAGGAAAACGCGGACGGGAAGAGATTAGGATCGCTGCACATTCTCAATCTTCGTCCGGGCTGTTCACGCAGATATTCTCCTTGGGATCTAACCTCAACAACGTTTTTTAGTCACGCTTAGAAATAACTCCTTTTTGGCTGAGGTTAGCATGTATTTCCAATGCCAAAAATTTGTCTCGCGCTGTGCGCATTTCGGTACTGGTGAATGAAACCTTTTGTCTTATAAGTCACCTGCGTCTCGGGTAACCCTCCACATAGGATCGTATTACACAGCATCATATTCGCTTGTGAATATTAGCGCAACTTGAAATCTCAACTAATGTTTTGACAACAGTTCCAATGTTTGCGTCGTAATGTCGTTTAGCCAGCATCTCCTGGCATACTGAAAGCTGAAAATTTTTGACAGGAACTCCAAACTCATAATGCCGGAAAACCAGGAGGCCTTTTTTCCTCATACGAAGTTTCATTGGGCGGCCAGCGCGCTACTTACCGACAGAGGCCGAACAGTTCTGGCTCGCGGTAGATGCGGTAGCAGTCCTGGCATATGTCAGACAGCTGTGCCACGAGCGCCCGGTCGAACTCGCCGCCACACTCGAGGTCCCTGAACTCCAGCGCCGTGTAGGGCCTGCCGACGAGCCGTCCGGCCAGCACAGGCTGGCCGCTGCTGGCCGGCGCCAGCGCCCAGAGCAGCGCCCCGGCCAGCAGCGCCGCCCGCACACTCTGCCACAGCGCCATCCTGCCGAGAATCCGGGAGGTTAGAAATGGGGCCAAAAAGCCACGGCCATTTACGTCCTGCGAGCAGTCCGGGAGGGAAAAATGGGGCCAGCCAGACGCGGCCATTCACATCGTCATCCTGTGAGCAGCCATGGAACGGGTCACGCCAGCGCGCGCATCGGCTCGAGTTTTCAGCGTTATCTGTTGTACACATCCAGAGAATGTGAAGCTGTGCCACGTAAACAGCAAAGCCCGTCCTAGGCGTTCCAAAAGATGTACGTGCACAGGCAATGGAACGGGTTCTTATTGGAAGGCATCAATGGGAATACGATACTTTGATAGCGGGAGCGAGCGATAACAACCGCTCAATTTGGAGCTTGCTATTAGCGGTCTTAAATTGGTCAAATGGTGGTCTTTAATTCATTACGTTTGGAATCACGTTTGCAGCTTCGAATGTTTTGGAGCCAAATATATGACTTAAGTTAGGAACCGCACGCGGCCAATAGTCAGCTTATTAGTCTACCATAGCCACATATCATTAGCTGCGTTTACAAAGGTTATGCACGGCATCCCCAGGCTACGCCCCGCCTCCAACTCTGCTCCTGCCCTCCCCCCACCCCACGAAAGCATTCCACGTACGCCAGCGGGGGTGGGGGCGTCGCACAGATTTACAGGCCGCCGGAGTACCTGGAGGACTGGAGGGTCGGCTGCGAGGGTCAGACAGGAGTCGTGCTGACACTGCTGTCACCTCGTCGCCCGGCTGCCTCTATATAGGTCTGGTGCGCGGCACCCACGCGGCCGGCGGCGGCGCCGACGCGGCCCGTCGCTCCGGTTCCACGTGCGATGTCGCCAGGACGGCTGGTGCTGGTGCCGTCCGCTGTCCAAGAGGTCTCGGGTACGTCCGGAGCGGTCGAGGAATCGGGTTTGATTGCTTGAAGCTATTGCCTTGCTGATATGATGCGGTATTGTTCGTGTTCCGGCTGCATGTGTCAAAGAACGGACCAAACAAGTACATTTGGTCATCTGTGTGTTCTTGGAGATGAGCATAGACATATATGATTGGTCACATCGTGGCGTTTAAAATATAGCACGGTATTGCGTCAATGCCGGGTGTTCTTTTCCATTGAAAAAATCAGACAGGTTACGTGGTTTTTGACGGCGTGTTAGAGTCACACGTGAAACAACACGGGGTAAGAAATAATATTTCCAGATCGCCACCAGCGAAAATGCACTCAAACAGCGCTGCTCATCGTAATTTTGATTAGTTAATACAACCATTTAAAGGAAACTCAACTTGGTACAACAATTTCTACTCCCTTTTCCATGTCGTGCGTCATCGATCTGTCCGAAAAACGCTTACCTTTTGTAGAGTGTGACCTCACAACAATAAAAATTGCGCAGACAACTATAACAAGCTTGATAACACGACCCGCCATGATATATGGACTACACGAAACAGGCTGATGCCTGAAAATAAGTGGAAATTTGAAAATACCTGGTGTATATCGCCGAAAAAGTCACCCAACACTTAAATGTGGATGCCTTGCTTTTGTTTTTGTTGTAGCCCTAAATCCCAGCGCATGTGACGTTGACAGTTCGCAATGCATTACAGCTTTACGATCATTGCATAAACAGTTTATTTCTGCCAAGCTCGTTTGAAAAGGGCTGCATTTTGTGTAGGCATTATTCATAAAACTCACCGTTATCTGATAATTGATTTTCAGAATTGTGTTGTAAATTTTAGAAAAGTACTGGCAGTTAGCCAGAAGAAACGCTTGGTCGAGCGTAAATTCAAAATACTTATTGTTGTGCGTTAAATTATGTCGGTGTGTGTCTTAACATGTGAGACATTGTACCACTAAAAGTTATCTCCGTATTTATCTAGCTGAACAACTTTTTGGAGGTGTCAACAACATGCTGCACATGCGCATTTAAGGGAATGTCCCGGATTTAAAGATATTGAAGCAGGCATGAGATATGGTAAAATAAACTCACTTATAACCGTTATTGTACTTAAATGTGGAAAAGACTGCTTTAGAGAACACAATTTTTTTATTAAGTAAATATGCTCCTGGGCACGTCAATGTTTGATTGCGTCATCGTACCGTTCCACAACATCGATTGAAAGCCAATTGACGACCGCTATATGTGAAAATCGCGCTCGCAAATGCCAGATATGAACGACCCGACGGATTCATTTTTCTTCGCCTTGATCGTCGCATGGCCGGTAAAATGGAATAATTTGAGTAACGTTATTACGGTTTCATGAATATCTGAGCAATCTTCAAAAAGTCGCACGAAAAATCTGTACATATCTGCGGGCGTATAGCTCAGCAACGAAAGGGACTGAGGTCTTAAGAAGGGCAGGTCCATGTACAGACATGAAATACTCCCTTTACATACATGCGAGCACTCCCTTTGAGCTCACGAAAAAAATGTAAGAACACCACGAGAAAGGGATACCACACGAGCATGAGCACCTAAACCAAAAGTACCTAACAAAATCCGGTTTGGGACACATCCTGTACGGTTGCTGGCCACTTCTCGGGAGATTAAGGAACTACTAGTGAGTGGTTATACAAACGTTTCAGGACGCGCTTAAACAATGGCGTATTGAGCAGCGTATTTACTCAATAGATAAAGTGTGTTGTCTAGAGAAGTCTTGTCCACTTGAAAGTAAATCAGTTGTTAAAAGTGAGCTTATTCCATCATACCTGATGCTCGCTTTAATATCTTTGAAGGTGGAACATTCATTTCAAACGTTCGCGACATCCAAAACAAACGCGGACTCGGGTGCAGGGCGTGCGGTGACGGCTCCTTATTATAGGAGGTGCCAGCAATCCTTCCTCGGGAGTATGTTGTTGGATACCATCTGCTTCCTTGAGCGGCGCAGGGCTGCCCAAAATCCTGCTAAAACCACCGTTCATTTATCTTGCAACTGCTCTGTAGAGAGATACCTCTTACATTGGTTCCCCCACTGACGCAGGAAACTCTCTGACCTAGGCGTTTGGCCCCAGACCAGCGTAGGGTCCGCCATCAATGCAATAAAAGCCCTTATTGCCGCACGAGGTCTAATAATTGACACAGACACTCCAGTTCGGCTTAACGGGCCATTGGCTGAAAGGGGTGCAGGTCCCATTCGGTACTGGGTCCTGATTGATACGGGGCCCTTCCACTATCTCATTGTGACCTCGTACTATTAGTTCTTATATATCCTTTCATCTTCAGAGGGTCCCAACCAACGCAAGGGGCCCCTTAACAGTCGGGGTGCTGTACCTGTCCCTGCTCAACAAATGTTCCCCTGGCCGACTCGGTATCCCGTGCCGACGTAGGGCTCCGTGTAGGCACTGTGGACCCTGACCGCCGCTGGGGACCGAAATTGTTACAGGGACCCTTTCCAATGCAAATCACAAGCCCCCAACCTAGTCTTTGCTTGGAAAATGGGTCCACGTGGTTCAGACCAACACATAGCCAACCGTTTGGTGCTAGTGATCTCTGGCCGAAATAGAGCTTCGCATTGTGTCAGGAGGTTCTAAGTCGGTGCACAGGGTCTTCTGACAGACATTTGAGGTCACGTTCTCGTGGGCAGACGTCCTTAGCCAGCCATTAGGCCCTTAAGCCTTCCAGCCGGGCCGTTGATCTTTGTTTGCGAGGGGCTCCCCGGACCCCCTCCGGGCCTCTCAAAGACTGGCCCTGGCCGAATCGGGGCCCCTCGCGAACACAGCCTCCTGTCAGGCACTGAGGGCTCCGGCCGAGATAGGGGTCCGTCATCAACTTGAGGGCCCCGATCAACGTAAAACGCGGGCTCCGGCCTTGTTCATGCATGGAGAAAGGCCCCCAGGCCAGATCGATACGGAACCGACCGTTTGGTGATGACTGTGTTATTGTTGTGGTGTACATTCTGTCATATAGGTGGCGCAAGAGATAAATTGCTTGCGTATGCACACTGGGCTTCTAAAACTACAGCGCTTTGAATACGACCACGTTTCGGTACCACCTCTCATGGAGCGTCAGCGCCGGCAGAGGCAGTTCCGGCGGGGCTGGTCATGCGCCTTGCCCCGGGCACTCTTACTGACGAGCCCATTCAGAGGCGCCCCCGGAGCCGAGCGTGCGGCCGCCGGCACGTGTCCGCCGCGGAGGGCACCGCCGCCGGCGCCACCGCTTCACAGAAGCGGCCCACCTCGGCCGAGCGCGGTCGTTAGAGGAGCGGGTGGTGCTGCATTTGGCCGTGATCCGGCACGTGGCGATACCTGCGCGCTAAAAAAGTCAGCTGGTGCACACATCACAGGGTGATTTACGAAGTGACGAGATATTTCACCTTCCGCTCGCCTGCTGTTTTCCGAGCAGCCTGTGAGCGAATTTAACTAGGGACTTAGAAATATGTTCATGCTCGTACCAAGATAAATTTCAACTACTCATTTCAACTATAAATCAAACTGCTCAGGCTGTGTTAGCTGCAAGGATGCGTACTGAACCTGCAACTCATAAAAGGATAAATGCAAACAGATTCAGGGCAAGAATAAACATGGCCTGCGAGCTGCTGGAATTATTTCGGCGAGTATCAGCAATCACTCACAGCGTTTGATTTTGATGACCAGCCTACCCATTTGCCTCAGTGTGTTGAGCACGCCGGTACATGCACTCAATTGGATCGGATTTGTTGTCTTTACTTCTCATTCACTCATGAGAGGTACGAATGGCCAAGCCTGTGCGTACTGTGAATGTATGACATAAATCACAAATCAAACCAACTAGCTGAGAAACTAAATGTCCAAAGTTGAGATTTGCTTGATATTCATATGCTACCATGCGAACACTGTAGTGAAGGGGTGTGTTCCACATTTGTATGCGGTTTTGAACTGAAATGGCCATCTCAAAAATCATTCGATGCAGTTCAAAGCCCTGCCCTTCTTAGCACCTAAAACCCCCTAGTTTCGTGCAGACCATTTCAAGGTCACCCAGGTATTCGTGCTGCCATAATAACGGCATTATAACTTTGTCATTTCACAGGTCATGCGGCG